GCCAGAATATTAACACGGAATAATAGCACTGTAAATGATCCTAAATCAATCCAAAACCCATTTCTGGTGTCCCCCGCCGTGATATTGCTGGAATATTGCCAGAAGCGGCGTTAAATCATACTCATCCACCCACTCACTCACTCTAAATCAATCCATGTTAAATAAATATTTAGATTCCAATAAAGCCATCTTCATCTATCTAGAGACATGACATTTAATTAAGGATATTTTGAGATACTCTGATTTTAGTTTTATTGGTCTCATTATTGATTTAGTTCTACATTATTATATAGATTCAAACTTCCAGATAGAACAATCTGTATTTCTTTAGAGACATGAGGTTTCACTAAGGACCAGCAGGGATTTATTAGTTTGTATTTTGATTATGTGATCAATCCTGTCGAACAGTTAGAGGGTGTAGACTTTTTTTATTTATGTATTCGATATGAGTTGGTATATGAGTTGATATATGTTATTTGTTTGATATTACATTTCAGTTGAAATCGATTGCCAGAGATATTACATTCACATCGGTTTCGCTTATAATTGTTGCGTTACCTTTAGAATATTGTTCATTCAATAATGTATAAGAAAAGGCCGGTAGCCCTACAACATGGCAATTATCAGTAGAGTATACATCCTTCACCGGATATGATTTTGTTTTTACATTTATGTGTTTTCCATTTTATTTACGGGTTTGATTTCCACATGGGCACAATGTTTGAAGCCCATTTCCATTTTATTGTTAAAAGCGGCGTAAAACTAAACTCAGTCAGTCAGTCCATTTTATTGTTATGAAAAAAATATATCAGTTCATTTTGTTGTACGTTCAGATATCGTTTTTATACACTTACATAACGACACAATCTTTACTTATGAGTAGCGGAATTAAAATAGTCTCGGCCAACTGTAGAGGTCTAGCTCAAAAACAAAAACGTAAGGAAGTACTGAATTTATGGAGAAAAAAAATTCAGTCATATGCCTTCAAGATGTACATGTAGATGAAAACACAGAAAATATAATAAAACATGAATGGGGCTTGGATTGTATAATAGCACTTTTCAAATCAAATGCACGTGGCGTAGCCATGTTATTGTGGGAAAGATAATAATAACAATTGTGGGAAAGAACTATATACATACACTAAGGATGAAAACGGAAACTATGTGATTGTTGATGTAACTTTAGAAGGTTTACGTCTTACTCTTGCAAACATATATGGTCCAAATACAGATCAACCACAATTTTATAACACTCTTTTTACAAAGATAAATAGCATAGATAATAGCTCTCTGGTGATCTGTGGTGATTGGAATTTAGTTCTAAATCCAAACATAGACCTTTAAAATTACAAAAATATCAATAACCCAAAAGCTAGAGATGTTGTAATGGATTATATTGAAAAAGGGAATCTGGTTGACGTATGGAGAGAATTTAATAAAGATAAAGAGAAATATACATGGTGGAAGACAAAACCAAGACAACAGGCCAGGTTAGACTTCTTTATTACTCCAGAAAATATACATTTTATAACACAAGAAACCGCAATTCTACCAGGTTACAAATCTGACCATTCTGCAATTAGTATGTCATTCTCCAATATACTTGTAAAGGAAAAAGGAAAAGGTTATTGGAAATTGAATACATCCCTTCTACATGACAGTGAATATATAAAAATGATAAACCAAACAATAACAGATATGAAGAAAGAGTATAATCACGATCAAAATATGAATATAGATGAAATAAAGACAAATGATGGAAACATTAAACTATTTCAGATACTTTATTTTTAGAAACATTCTTAATGAAAATAAGAGGAAGTACTAGATCATACTCTGCATTCCGTAAAAAAGATAAATCAAGGAAAACGTCAGAATTGGAAAAAACTATTGCTAAGCTAGAAGATGAAATTAGAGATGATCTTCAAAATGTAAATGAAAGTCTTCTTTCAGAATTATCTAAAACAAAAAAAGAATTAGAAAGCATTATAGAGATGATCTTCAAAATGTAAATGAAAGTCTTCTGTCAGAATTATCTAAAACAAAAAAAGAATAAGAAAGCATTAAAGAGGAAGAGCGTAAAGGACAAGAAATAAGAAGCAGAATTAGATGGTACGAAGAAGACGAAAAACCAACAAATTGCTTCTGCCATTTGGAGAACAGGAACTATACCAGTAAACTTATTACAAACTTAGAAAAAGATAATGGTGATATTATTGTAGATGGTACAGATATTTTACAGGAACAAATGAAGTTTTACCAAAAATATATGCTATGCCCGTAAATGAAACACATGATACAAATATTCTAAGTACTATAACAACCCCTACACTAGACGATGTGTTATAAAGGTCATTAGAGAAACCTATTGGAAAACAAGAAGTTGCTGCAGCAGTAAAGGCCATGAAAAATAATAGAAGTCCAGGTATTGATGGTTTTAGTGTAGAATTTTTAAAGTTTTTCTGGAAAGATTTAGGAACATGGGTGTATAGATATATCCTAGAAGTGCTTACCAATGATAAATTAAGTTTAACAATTAACCAAGGCATAATTACATGTATACCTAAGCCGGGTAAAGATAGGACATTGTTAAAAAACTGGAGACCGATTACACTCTTAAATATATTATATAAGATATTAAGTTCATGTATTGCAAACAGACTCAAATTAGCTTTACCAGCTTTAATACATAGTAACCAAACATGATTATTATCGGGTAGATGTATAAGCGATAATATTCGTTTGTTATATGATATTATTTTTGAAACTAAATTAAGACAACAACGTGGCCTTCTAGTATTAATTGACTTTGAAAAAGCATTTGATACTGTTTCGAAAACTTTTATAGTAAATGTGTTAAAAAAAGTTTCAATTTGGAACAAATATGATAAAATGGATTCAAATATTAATTAATAATAACCAAACCTGCGTGTCTCAGAACGGCCATTTTTCCTCATTTTTCAATACCGAAAGAGGTTGTAGACAGGGTGACCCGATGTCCCCATATCTGTTTTTATTAGTCGCAGAAATATTAGGGATAATGATCAGACAGAATCAAGAAATCAAAGGTATTGTTTTACATGATAATGAACATAAGATAGGACAGTATGCGGATGATACAGAATTGTTTCTAGATGGGTCTGAAAATAGTTTACAGGCAGCAATGAACACTCTAGACACTTTTTTACAAAATGTCAGGACTAAGAATAAATAATAAAAAAACAAAGGCGGTATGGCTAGGCTCTATGACAGGGAGTGGGCTAAAATTATGTAACAACCTCCAACTAGACTGGAAAGAAGGTAATTTTGATGTTTTGGGAGTCACATTAAATGCAGAGCTGGAAGACCTATGGGTGATTAACACACGTAAAAAGCTAGATAATATTAAAAGAATATTAGGAAACTGGAGAAAACGCAATTTAACCTTAATTGGCAAAATAATCGTTATTAAATCTCTAGCATTGTCAACACTAGTGCATATATTTACTGCTTTATCTAACCCACCAGAATCTTTAATCATAGATCTTAATAAGATTTTGTTGACTTTTTATGGAATGGTAAGAGAGATAAAAATTAAACGGGAAACTATAATGCGAGACTATGACGAAGGAGGGCTTAGAATGATAGATATCACTTCATTTGTCACATCCTTAAAATTATCATATCTCCAAAGATATATTAGAAATAATGAACATATACAACATTTTCCTGTAGATGATATATTTAAACTTGGAGCTAATATTAATACCTTTGTTTCACTAGAAAACCCTTTTTGGCAAAATGTATTGGAATCTTTGAATGTTTATTACAGATTGTATACATGTGAGGGAAACAAGGTAGATGATATTTTAGCAGAACCATTATGGCTTAACCACCAATTTACTCATCAAAACTTCATTATTAAGTCGTGGTTTTCCAAAGGACTTTGTACTATTAGAGATATATGTGATTCCAAAGGTATATTGTCTTTTGCGCAATTACAAAACAAATATGACTTGAATGGCACAGTACTACATTACAATAAAATGTTATTAAATATCCCTCTCCAATGGAGAAAATCCATATCTGATGGAAATCTCATCGGAGAAAATATTAATATTCTAGAACCCTTAAGAAATATGTTAAATTATTCTAAAGGTTGTAGATACTCTAACGATACTTTAATAAGGAAAAACAGCCTACCTGAGGTATTTACAAAATGGAAAACCCAATTTCCAGAAGATATGCACTGGAAATCCATATTCAATAAATTTAGAAAATGTACTAAAGATGTTAAATTTATCGATTTTCAATACAAATTTATTCACAAGAACATTTACACCAAACGTGAGTTGCTATATATGAAAATTGTTGATGACGATGTTTGTTCGTTTTGTATGGAAGAAAGAAAAGATTTAGAACATGTGTATTATTATTGTCGCCATACCAAAAACCTCTGGTCTCACTTTGAAGCTTTGTTGAAAGACAAAATACCAGGTTTTGTCCTAACTAAGTTCATAATCTTTTTTGGTTTCATATCATTCTCCTAGCCAAGAAGTACATACACAATATGAGCATAAAAAATAGCATTCCTGTATTTTGGAAATTCAAGAAATCTCTTAAAGAGATAATGAAAATAGAAAGATATATTGCAACAAAGAAAAATAAAGAACATAAATTTGAGTAAAAATTGAGACCACTGGTAGATATGCTCAATAGTTCCAATCTCAGTATATTTCATGGCATAAACATGTGAAAATGTATTTGACATGTAGATATTTGATATTTAAATGTATCCTGACTGAATCAATGTAGTGTATATGGACGACTATGCAATTATATGTATACTCTTGAACTGAATAAAAATATGTGAAAAAAAAAAAAGTACCGTGGGTTTATAAATGCACGTGTTTGCTTTACGTCATGCAGAATTTATACATGAATCCACAATTGTGTCACCAGATATATTTAATCGATTATTATGCTGTTTTTCTTCATAGATACTCAACCTTTGTAACCATGACAAGATATCTCGCGTTATTGGTTCTGTTTGCAAGCTTGTTCATGCACGGTTGCGAAGCAACAGATGTAAAACGTCAGGACCCTCCACCAGCGTCCACCTTATCAAGTCTACCGAGCGAAGACGAACACGCCGCGTATGCCGATGATGCAGTTCAGGTCGGTTTCTCAGAACCATCACCAGAGTCGAATTTCACTGAACCTTCCCAAGAATCGAACACCACAAAACCAGCTTTACCACCTCTCATCGACAGCGGCACGGTGTCCCGTCAACAATATGACACTATTAAACTCACCATTGACATCATCATTAAACCAATCGTCTGCCTGGTGGGACTTGTGTTAAACGTCATCGGTATATGTGTACTTCTTCAACCAGAATTACGTCACGGGTTCTACGTGTACCTTGCTGCATTGTCGTTCGCAGACTCGGGATACCTTGTGTGTGGACTTCTCCGCTCGGCTGTTAAATTCTATGGATATTTTGACATCGTTGAAGCTACTATTATAGAAAACACCATCGTGCCCTATGGAGATCGACTAATCGAGATTGCGTGCTGTAAATTGGGCGCCTACTGCATCATGTTGTTCTCACTCGACAGATTCATTGCTGTTTTTCGACCTCTCAAGGTCAAGAACTTTATCCTTTCCCACCATTCGAAAGCCATATGCCTTTCAGTGGGTATTATTGTCCTGGTGTTCCACATTCCTAAAGTCACCAACTTCGAACCTGTGACCGTATTTGATAAGGACCTCAACATGACATTCACAAGGTTAAGAACAATCACGTACGACGACGGTAGCGTCATGGACACCTTGCTGGCTGTTTACAACATGGTATACGACCTCCTGTTTACGTATATCCCCCCTGTGTTTGTCTGTGTGGTGAACATGTGCATAATAGTCCAGATCCAGAGAACCCGCAACTTCCGGAAACGACTACTGGCCGTAACTTCGACTTGCAAGGATACTGAACAACAGAAGCTCATTGTCACCGTATTCGTCATATCAGCGTTCTTCCTCATGGTCTACATTCCGTTGATAACTATCCGCAACTTAACAGCGAACAATCCGGATTTTCGCCCCTTTAAACGTGAGCATTACCTCTTGATGATATTTCCACCGTTTGTGTCGCTGGGTTGGTCCATCAACGCTGCCATTGACTTCACCGTGTATTTGGGGACGAGCGAGCGTTTTCGGTTGACACTCTACAAAATGTGTTGTGGGAAGCGAAGGGACGCAGGAAGGAGACGCAGCTGTCTCTGGTGTCTGAAGACTAACTACAACTCCCCCAACCATCAGCCGCATCAGCACCAACTCCACACAGAGCACGCGCAGTGACGTCACTTCCGTTGGGAAAGACATCGATAGTGAATCTGGACAAGCGAATCATTTTCCTTCAGGAGGGTTGAAGGAACACGAAGCCATAACTGACGAACGGTAATAGGACGTCAGAGTGAACGAAACAAATGCAAAAATGATCAATTCGAAAATATGCTTTGCTGAGAATGCAACTGAAACGTGTCTGTAACCTTCTCACGAGATAAGTTTTCAACATTTGCATCTTTCTGCGCTGTATCTTGGGGTACAACGTTGGTTGTATCCGTGTTGAGTGCATAGACAATGAATATTACACAATGTAAAATTTGTATTACGTTTAATGTTATTTAGAACCTTATTTCTGTCCTTCTGATACCATAGCAGAATATCTTGTAGTTATACATAAGTTTTCTTACATCATATATATTCAATCGAATGTTTTTTTTCAAGTATGTTTACAAAGAAATCTTGTACAGTTACCACGTTTTTCAGTTTTGTATCCAGTCACCTTGTTCTGTGTGTATTAACTGAATTCACGCTTATCATGATTGTAGATTGTTTGTACCATACAGATGCTTGTGGGTTTGCCCTAGTGGTTAACGCGATGATCTGCATCACTTGGGACCAGAGGGGTGGTGGCCTAGTGGTTAAAGCGTTCGCTCGTCACGCCGAAGACCCGGGTTTGATTCCCCACATGGGTACAATGTGTGAAGCCCATTTCATGTGTCCCCAGCCCTGATATTGCTGGAACATTGCTAAAAGCGGCGTAAAACTAAACTCACTCACTCACTCACTCAGACCATAGCGGTCACGATGTAAAATAACTGAACTATTGTAAAGCGTCAAACCATCTCACTCACTTATTCGCCAGAAAATGTCTGTAAAATAGTATGAGTGAGTGAGATTGATTGTATACCGCTTTTAGTATTATTCCAACAATATACACATTAGTAGATCGCAATAGTGGTTTTCCGTGGATTTATGTTTAATTTAACACTTAATACATCACGCGCATCTCCATGTGTCTGATGCGTTCTCTACAGACACATTGGGCGTTTACATGGTGTCCAAATACAGCAAAACCGGACTGAACTTATACGAAGCTTGCGCCCTTGGAACAAATACTCCTAGATATTTGTTAATCCGGGTGATCCACTAGAAACAGTACCGCTCGGATTTGCTGGGTTTCACCTGATATAAAACATTTCAACATGTGTCTGGACGTAAGCAAAATTAGAAATACAAAAACAAAACCAAAACTCACACACTACAGCTACAACAACAACAACCAAATGGCAAAATACACGTTGATAGCAGTACATTTCGTTAACTATATTTTGTCCATCTCTGAAATGTCAACTTGTACATAATCTTGTGTTGTAGTGTGTGTGTGTGTGTGTGCGAGCACGCGTTTGTGTGACCCTACCTGTACTTGTATTTTGTAATAAACGTCACAAATATAACTATGACTGTTTCAAATGTTCTAATTGTTCTACGTAAGGAAGTATTTAGAAAGAAGAGAGGGCTAGGGCCCTGCCCTGATGACATATTAAGATCCTTGTATCGCCCTGATGGCATTATATATTTGTATACACTCCTACTGAAGCTGTTCCTGACACGTCATTGACAGAGTCTAGGACTTAGTCAGTCATACTCCTAGGAACGTATTGTGGAGTGGGCAACATGTACACTACATGATCCACCGTTTTCCGAACAAAATGGAGTTCATCGCGCTGTTACAAAAACACAGAAATAAATACATGTATATGTAACTACTTTTGTTTGCTTCTTAATCGACAACATTACTGCTATACCTGAAGTTAAATCGGAAACAGACAAATCTGTGAGCAACTGCCACGCAATACCAAACAATCAACTGAGTGCCCAAGACTGACCACTGGACGCTTATGTCCTTTCGTCATCAGACCAACGATATGGTTCCATGCACTCCTTGCTTGGAACCCTGTATTTCTATTTTACTACCCGTGAAGGTCCGGGTTAGAATTGGTCGTCAGCAACCCATGCTTGTCATAAGACGTCACTAACGGGATCGGGTGGTCAGGCTCGCTGACTTGGTTGGCACATGTCATCGTATCCCAGTTGCGTAGATCGATACTCCTGTTGTAGATCACTGGATTGTCTGGCCCAGTCCTGATTATTTACATACCACCGCCATATAGTTAGAATGTTGCTGAGTTTGGCGTTAAACGACAACCAACCAACCCAAGACTAACCACTGGACACCAATGTCCCTTCCTTTTCTGACAGTTTAGGTCTCTCTCACTGTAGATTGCATACCTGATGTTTCAGTTTAGCAAGTCTTTTTAGTATGAATGCTGCATAACAACTGAAAAAACTGGTTTCATTTGGTTGGGTAAATAAATGCGGAAAACAAACTGTCGACGTTTCCTATATTTTCACATATGCCAAACATACCTATATAGTTTATGAGTTTGAGACCTTTATGTTTATATCACTGTGTCAGTGTACACAATTTGGTTTCAACATTTCAACCCATTCAGGATGTTACGCTACAAATTGTCCAAACCGGGAACATATTCGATCTAATATTGCAACAGCCTAAATAATTTTGGTTTGGCAACTATCGTTATAATATGACCAGGAAAATCAGTCAAATGGATCCATTAGTGGCTATAGTTTCTCCTTATCTTAAAAGTCATGCAACGTAAAATAAAACATTGCTGATTCTGATACCTTTCGGTATGGACTTACAGTAACAAATGATCAAAAATGCAAATTCAACTTATAAAGTTGAAAAACAACGCGATGAAAACCCACCCGCGAAATCGGAGTTCAAACGATTCACTAAATTCACCCCAGCTTGGGTGAAAAGTGGCTTCAACAGCTGTGCTGCGCTGCGCTGCACTGCGCTTGGTTTACTCCCAAAAGTTAGGCGTCCCAAAAGTCAGACAAATCAATCAGGCGTGACTGTGATTACAACCTAGTCTTCCCCACTCATATAATGAACCTGTCCCATCCACTAACGAGATGGGTTTCACGTTTGTACAGAAATGCTTTGATTAGAATACTAATGTTGACTGGCTTACTCAATCACTTTGTTCTCCAAATATGTTTTCACTATGTTCAATTTTATCATAACAGGATCATATATTTTGCATACTTGTTTTCACAACGTTCCCTTTGATCAAAACAAGATTATAGATTTTGCATGCTTGTTTTTACAATGTTCACTCTGATCAAAACATGATTATACATTTTTTTTTATGTTGTTGAGTTGTTGTATAACTGGAAAATAATAGGAAAACATTATCCACTCTACCAAATTCAACACTATCTACACAAAATCAACCTTAATCCAAACGGCAAATGTATGTCTTGTCAAATTCCTGAAACAATAGCCCACACTATCTTTAACTGCTCAAAATATAATAAACAAAGAACCCCATTTACCAATGCTTTAAAACAGTACCTCAATAATGCTAACGCTTCTGATCTCAACATTCTAACAAACAACCAAATTAATTAAAACAATCACTAAATATCTTATTCATACAAACTCATATCAAACAATCTAGAAACAAAAACAATAATACAATAATTCCACTTTTCTACCATTTTAAAATTTGTTATAAATATGTATATATGTTCTTTTAACTTTAACTCATTTTTTAACCTTTTATTTATGTTCATCATTTAATAATTATGTTTTTAAACATAGATTGGTTGTAAAGCAACATATTAACAAAACTACAATCAAATTGTTTTGTTTCATGTCAAATAAAGTCATTGTCATTATCCATAATGTCTTCTCTTTGTGTTTAGATTAGTATGTTTGGAGTAGTCCATTAATTAACGAAGGTAACAGTGTAGTGAACCTCCGTGCAACCAACCATAACATTTGTTGTTTTAACGTGTCCAACTTTTGGGACGTCTAACTTTTGGGAGGTCACCCAATGCACAGTGAATAGGTTCGCGCAGGAGATTACCGATTTAACTGTATATATAATTTCATTTGACTATTTCACCACACGTTCTTCTTACCGAGTCACTTTCTCAGTTCGATACTTAATATCAACGTCATTATTTAGCATTGACAGAATTTCTAACGGTGATATAGATATGCCTTTGACACAGACAAAACTCAATGTCTGTTTTATTGAAACCTATGTGTCTGCCTGCCTGTCTGCTAATGACAATATGCAATACACAACTGACCACACGCAATATGAACTTAACACCTATGAGGCTATACACCATAAACAAAACGCATTGATTTATGGCTCGTGCACCCGAGTTCTGTCTCTGTCACATTATGTAATTACACAGACAGGCAGGTGTGATACTTCTACACATGACATGTTATGGTGTCTGTTGATTGCAAAATGTTATACACACAAACTGAACATGCATTAACAAAACCCAACACCTCTATACACACACAAAGAGTGTATCGGCAAATGAACCAGCCAATGAAAGGCTTTGTTACACTTAAGTGCACGCCCACCCGCTCTGACTGGGTTCGGTATCCCGGATGCTTCGTTTCGAGGGAAGTAAACCCTGGTACAAAATATACTTTTGATTTGCGATTGTACGCTTATAATTTTGTTTATTTTTTTCATAATCAGCAATGTATATTATATGTCATGAATAAGTGATAATTGTGTTTTAATCATGTTTGTTTTTTTGGTTGCATGTGACCTTTAAGTATTATGCGGTTAATGGGTACAGCTATGCTGCCCTTACTCATGAGCTTATTTCACCAAAACATAGTTTGTAAATTGTATTGTGTAAAATATCTATTGGCACCACGGTATTTTTTGGCATCACAGAATTCCAAATGTTTGTTGCTGTAATAATGATGAACTATCGGGATTTACAGCACGATGACAATTCTCTACAAAGGCTCGTGGGCTAAATTCTCTTCAGTTAACCGCTGTAGGACACATAAAGACGTATTGCTGTGCTCACTTAAAACACCTATCAACGATGGTTTTCTGTTACAGATGCGGTCACTGTTCGTCAGCACACTCTTCCTTTCA